TCTTTTTGTGTTGGATAGTCCAGTTATCGAGGAAGGCTGTGGGCTATATAACATCACGCTACAACCAATAGGAGCAAAGATATAGTGGTAAATGTGTAAAAAACGGGAGAAATTATTTCATCTTTGAAGCCTTCTGTTGCGTGCGCCACGAAAACGGTTCAAGATACACAAAAAATATGTATTAAAGAATAATAGCTCTTTTAATGATCTAAAAAACACTCCGCGACAGTATATGTCTATCTTTTACGGGAACTCTACCATTCCGAAAACCCCGCAAGAACGGGAACTATGTGGGAAGAACCAAAAATTTGCCGGAAGTCACTATTCCACGCGGACGAAGCCGCGGCAAAAGCTAGTATTTTATAAAACAGCAAAAGGTTAGAATCGGTTTTGAATCTTCGAGATGTTAGAATAATATCAAAAGACGTAGCTACTTATAATTTTCATCCGAAGATTAACTATTCAATGTAAACTGCAGACTGTATCGTGTATTGTGTAAACTGCAAACTGTATCGTGTCAACTGCAAAGTGTATCGTGTATCGTGTAAACTGCAAACTGTATCGTGTAAACTGCAAACTGTATCGTGTATCGTGTAAACTGCAGACTGTAACATTAAAAACTATTTTAATATCCAGAGTCTCAATGTTTAAGTTTTCATAAAATATATATTTTCATTTAAAAAAAGTCTCATCCAAATGACCAATAAATTCAATTGCCATTATGATTTTTCTTTTTTAGCTAGGATTTTTTAAATAACCATTTCAAGTCTCTTCTACCTGGCAATTTCCCAGCTTTAGCCAGGGTCTGCCTTACATGTTGTGAACAGTTTTGGCTAATTGTTTTTACGATCGGCCGCCTGCCTGTCATCAACCCTCTTTGAGAATAGATAACCATTCGAAGTAAAGGTTATAATTATACCTTATAGTAATTGACTAACCTATAATACATATAATCAAATTAATTTAACGTCTTATAATGTTAGCAAAAATACAACTGAATCAATATTACGTATTTGTCCTCAATTTTAATGGAACTTATTTATTTTAGAGTCGAACGGGGAAAAGTGTTAAAAAAAATACCAATTTAAAAGTAGATCGGGAAAATAATAAAAGTTTTAAAATTATATTTTAAAATAAAACTTCATTTTATCATAATTATATTGTTAATTGTTAGGACGCGCGCAATATATATATATATATATATATATATATATATATATATATATATATATATATATATATATATATATATATATATATATATATATATATATATATATATATATATATATATATATATATATATAATTTTCATTTATTGAATCGCATCATATATATATATATATAAAAATGAATTGCTGTTCTTTAGTCTCACTAAAACTCGAGAACAGCTGAACGGATTTATCTTATCTTAGTCTTGAAATGTTTGTGGAGGTTCAGGGAAGGTATAAAAGCTGAAAAAAATTGATTCATTGCTTTGAAAACCATAAAAACAGCCCTTTTCTATTTCCCATACAAACGTTTTTTTTTGACATTAGATTTGACAACTAACTAGTATGTCAATCATTCTGTCGCACTTCAAAACACGGAGATTTATGGCTTACTCGAAAAATATAAATTAAAAACGTAATAGATAATTCGCCAGGTCTTCTAGTACTTAATAATAATTTATGACAAATATTTTTCAAAGCAATAGAAATTGATGTAAATTTTCTTTAATTCCGTAAACAATTTTCTCAGAGAATTTATGATAAAAAGTCATTGCATTATTCAATAAACACAACCAAACTTCAAAATTGACAAATAAGGGTACGAACTAGCCACGTATGTTATCTGAAATCATTTATCAAAAGTTATAACTTCAAAAATAAGCTTTTTAATTATATGCAACTGTATTCATTTTTTTGCGATTCAATAAATTAGTATATAATCGTAATGGTCTTGCATAACAGTGATCCAGGGGAGTATAAATAGAAATATATACAAATATTTTTTACTAAATTTCCGTACAAATATGAACCTCATCTTCCTCAACAGGTTCTTCATTTTTCACAACTAGAACAACTCTACAGATGAAAGATTTTAATAATGGCTAGGAGAGGGTATATCTTTTAAATTTCTTTTGAACACAAATATCTTTATAATATTTACTTTATTTTCATCTAAGAAAATGAATGTTAAATAAAACTGTCATAGCTGTGTTTGGTTGGCTAATGGGAGTGCTAGTTGTAAGTCGGCGTTCCTTTCCCGCTACGTCAGTTGTATTGTAACTTTATTCTTACTTAAATCCTTAGGTTAAAAAAGACTTACAGATTTTACTCAGTCTGAAATTTATTATATAAAATAAATATATAATCATTCATTTTATTTTATCTTGAGATACATGGGTTATTAATGTAATAAATTTTAAAGTGTTATAAAGTTGTGATATCTCTGAAATTGATAATTCAAAGTTGAATATTAGTTTATTTCATATCAATTGAGGATTTTAAGAACGATTGCCGTGTGATAATAGTTTTGACCACGCTCACCTGCCTCTAATATGAGCCGTAATTGGATTAACTCATAACCTCTACGGTTTAATAATTTGCGTAAAAAACTTGTTGAGAGACTTTTAATAAAAAAATAATATTAATTTAAAAAATGTATAAATATATTTAATGAATTAAAATTACTGCCACAATAAATTGCCCCCTAATAATACAGCTTAATTCAATAAATTCAATCAGAGCCAAATAATATTTTATTCACCTTCTATATAATTTAGATGACTGCTAATTTACCGGCTAACTGACTGAAACATTTGACTCGAATTGTCTAATATTGACTTGAAATTGACGTACACAGGTTAATTCAAAAGTCTTAATATTAATTAATAAACTGAATATATATACATATATCTAAACTTCTCCCACTCAGAACAAAAATTGCGTGGTTATAATGAGATCAAATTCAACAAAGCTCCAGAATTAAAAAAGATTTGTTAATACATTTAAATGGTCCTGAAATTATTATTCTTCAGCTATAAGAACTATATAAAGATTCTGAGGGAAAAGAAATCTGAGGTTTAAATGTGGTTAACAAGTGACTTCCGCTGGGTATTCCGGTCATTTTAAATTAAAATTAAATATCAAAGAGTAAACGATATACATAGTGGCGTTCCTGGGTAATAATACTTGGAATTATTTTATAAACCTTTGAGTAAATCTCCCACGACACATTATAAAATATGTTATGTTTCAGACGTTTCGTTTAGTTGAAACAATCGGTTCAATGTTTTATATCAAAACAGTATTTTGTTATAACAAACTTTGTTTTATAAAATAAATTTCTACACAAGAGATAAAACAAAATTTATTATTTATATTACTTGAAACCATTCGATAACCTGAGAATAAGAGTATATCGGACCGACTTTTAAATGGCTTATACATACATTGCAAACACAATAACTGAAATATGAATATATGAAATGAATCTAATTATATGCAATTGTTGAATGCATTGCTCAAAAGAATGAAGTCAATCATGTACATATTTGATTTGGGGTTTTTATCCTGTGCTTAAATAAGCTTGCAATTTACTTTGAGATGCATATATTTAAATAAAGTTTTATATACATATAAAGGTTAGTCTCCATGAGGTAATATAAAATGTAAGGTAAGGTAAAATACAAGCTACAGAAAATATAACTCTCCATATATATAAATGGAGTAAGTAATTAATCACTTAATAAATAAGAAATTGATGCATTATTTGGGCCTTTAAAATGCGATAATATTCATTACAGCACAAACCAATGTCTAAAACTATTTATTGCAATTATTTCAATGAATTGTTCTGAAATCGATTTTTACGTTATATGATATAACAAGATAAAAAAAGTGTGAGAAATACATAGGTGAAAATTTTAAAACAGTATAAGCTTCTTTTTGAAATGCAAAATAACGCTGGAGTGTAGGATACAAGTCTATAAATCGATTGTCGTAATCCAAATTGTATTGTATTGATCTGACTTTTCCACTAAAACTTAGAAAGAAACGAGATAACACAATATAAAGATGCGAATGATGAGATACAAATATATATATTTTGACGAGAGTGGATGAAATATGACAAAAGTTTTAATAGGAAACGTTTGCAAATTGTGTTTTTATTCAAAAGGTTAAGCAGTACCTAATAGTTTAATAGGTATGTGTAATGCAAACATTTGACAACAAATAATGCAACATAAATTATATCGGTATGGTTAAAAAAGAAACAGAAGAGTTTTCATTGATAGTCAAATAATTAAAGTCGTTCATTAAATTAGATAAAACGAACCAATAAAGAATCGAAGTCAGCGATGGCCTAGTGGTTAAAAGGCCCGCCTCTCATGCACAAGGGTGCGGGTAGGATCCTGGCAAGTACCAATGTGATTTTTCCGAGTCTATGTACTTTCTAAGAGTATTTAGACATCACTGATTAATGTATTCCCAAAGAGGGTTGATGTCAGATAGGCGGCCGATCGTAAAAACAATTAGCCAAAACTTTTCACAACATGTAAGGCAGACCCTGGCTAAAGCTGGGAAATTGCCAGGTAGAAGAAGAAGATTAAATTAGATAAAACATATGAAAATAAATTGGAATACTAAAAAATGTACCAGCCTTCAATAAATAGAAAAGATATTTTGATATATTGTTACATTATCGTAATAATAGAACCAAAAGTACAGTTATCATTTAGCGAGTATTAAAATATATTATTTATTCATTTTAAATTTTGTGAATTCGGACCTATAACAATTCATCATAATTGCAATTTCAACTCAATTTTATAAAATTTGCTTATTGGACTACGTACATTACGCTTCTCTTTGTTACATTATATTCATAAAAAGAATTTAATTGTAGTTATAAAAAATCAAATCAAAATTATCATTAGTTTATAATAATTAGCAAAATTAACTTACAGTATTTTTGTAATCAAATCAGCTTAGTTTAATGCTTTAATCGAGGCAATGGCGAAGGAGATGAAGTCACTGAAGTCCCCGTCGCCTATTAAAAGACACGTCAATCCCAGAGGGTCTATTAAAGTGCTTAAGCAACTACGTATTGTCAGATTACAAAATGGTCATGCCTATGGTAGAGCCGCCAAGCAGAGTCCTGTACGGCCAGCACCATCATCCCACGAATTTTCGCTGATGCACCAAAGCCCCGCACTGGGCGAAAATTTAACAGCGCCCCACCAAAGAACGAGAGTCGGCTCCAACCCCCGCTGGCCCCCGGGCAACCCACGCTTAGCAAAGGATATTATCATATTAGAAACGAAAGCCCCTCAGACACCTGAGGGACCCTGATACCTACGGCAAGTGGCCTAGCACCCCAGTGGCAGCTAATCAGGAGCAGCTAATGAGGTGCAGACATTCACCGCCAAGCTGAAGGCCTCCGATCAATCCTCAGGCTCACATTTTGGCAATGTGTCAGCATTCAGGCATGTGGCGCGACGTCGCGTCGGAGCGTTTCAAACGTTAAGCGTAGTCTAAAGCATCACTTTCATAGTCTTCAATAAACAATAGACGTCCCAAACACTCCTTTTAGAAACTGTTGACGAGCGTACATCCCCTATACCCTCCGGACACTTTAGGCCCTTATTTAATGTTTAGGTCCCATCAGGTCAACCAACCTTACCGGTGACGCTGTCAAAGCCATTAGAAGTAATACTTTAGCTGCAGTCCAGTTGATTTAACAAAATATATTGAAAGCCAATAAATCAAGTATTTTAATACAATAAAGGAAAAGAGTTCAATATTATATACATATACATATATATTATATGTAATGTGTATTGTATTATAATTTAATATTTCTCGGATTTAACAAAAATATATAAACATTTAAATATGCTATTAAAACTGCCCAATTGAAATGCTATGAATATGAATAATGAATAATAAAACTATTTAAATAGAAAGTTGTAGCTTTGCAACATTAAATTTTAAAATATCAGTAGAAAAAACTAAAACAAAAGTGTTTTAACACTTTGTGTTTTTTTTAAACAAATTTCACAAATGAAGTATTTTATGACTTATTTCACTGATATCAATATTTGTTCAAAGAGATAGTCTGCTTATACGGCCTCATAATCATTCACTCAAATAAAACATTTCGTTTTCACTTGAAGTTCACTAGATACAGAACGGAGAAATGAAAACCTATTGAAAAGAAATCTAACAAACCCAAAACTGTATTTTATTTATTTTAATTTGAAATAAAATACTAATTACATTCTAAAAACATCTTAAAAATTTAAAACGTGTATGATTATTCTACATTATTTATTTGTTGTTCAAATAAATTTATGTAAAATAATTAAAATCTTTGTAATTTATATCGTACGTTAAGATTCACCTGCCACGAACAATTAAATCATGTACGCGTCACGGTGGTAAACGACATACTGAGATACATTGACATATTGTGTTTTCGTGCAAGTCATGCCTCCCGCAAAACTTAGGAGGTCAGTCTCTAGCGAAACTTAGGAGGTCAATCACTAGAGAAAGGACTTGAATACTTTTTTTTGTTTATTCGTTATATTTTTAGAGGTGGTCAAGTTACTACAGCTCGAACACGGGCTGGCTCGACCGAGGAAGTACCACCCTCTCACAGAAGATCGGCGTGAAGTAGTTTTTAATGGCTGCGTTTCGTCCGGTGAGTGAGAGAGCCGGTTGCCCTTTCCCTTTCCCCGTCCTTTCCTGCCATTTCCTTTCCCCTACCTTTCTCACTTTTTCCTTCTTCTTTTACTCAATCAACGGCGGCGACCCATCCAAAAATCGACGTTGCGGTTGTCCATGTTCAACGGTACTACTTCCATCAGGTAAGCCGTCTGCTCGGTTGCCCCCTTTAACATAAAAAAAATAATAATTAGTACTTCATACAATTCCATAACATAAATTGAAACTTTACAGAATATAACCTTTCTTTTAAAATACCTTGCCGGCACGATTTGTCATTATTCTTATGAATTTAAAATAGAAATCACTAAAGTTTTAATTAATATTTCTTGGTAAGAAAATAAATAAAAAACAACTGATATAAAAGACGACAGTACCTAGCATTTCTTTTTATATTCTTACGGAAGTAATAAGATATAAGAATGTTCATCAAATCATGCCGTAAAACTTTATAATAACAAAGATTATAATAATATGATGAGTATAATAAAACATAAAAATTCTTGAATACTTACTTAGCTTGTTGTTCTAATGTCTACATTTAATCTGAAATGTTTAGTTTTCATTAAATGATGTAAATATGGGATTCATTTTAAAGAAAATATTTTACAAACTTTATTTTGCAAAAGCCTAGAAAGTACAAAAAAATATTTTAAACAGGACTCTAAAAATGTATTTAGTAAAAAAACCATGGTACCAATTTTATAGTTAAATAAATTTGTCAAATATAATTTCAGTCTCAAACTAGATTTAGGTAATGTTTGCCAGTTCTTAAATAAGATGATGAAAAAAATACGATTTCTACATAGATCCTAACATGGCAAATTGTTTTCTGCAAAAAAATTATATATAAATTCAGAAATTAGTAACAATAAATTTATTTCTAAGACTTAGCCAAATTATATTAAACACATATCATAAAATGAAGAATGACTTTAGATCTTAACGCAAAATATTTATTTGAATTTCAATTGATTGGTAACTAAAGCCAAAAAAATAAGCATTAAAATAGTTGAATTGAAATAGTTATAACACTTTTCCTTAAGACACTGAAATATTTAAACAGAAGTATAAAAAAATGAAGAAGAAATATTAAATTTATTGACATAAGTGTTCATACAACTAAGATATTTGTTATATATATCCTGTTCTAAAATAAATTAATTGGAATATGTTAAATTCCCGCAGCTACAAATATGCAAGGATGCACTGAAAGACGGCTTTTTGTTTAATTAAAATATGTACCCAAGCATATCTTTACATTTATTGCTAAAATAAAATAGATACAAAATTTACATATTGCCTAACATAATCCGTCCACTATTTATTATCGGTATTATTAGGTAATAGCATTTATTATATGAAAGTGTCATAATTGAACGCAGCATACAATCATTATCTGATAATCTTGTAAGTGATTTCGTAACATGGATCTGGTGAATGTATGTATAGCATAGATTTGTCAAATCTCTCGGGGGCAAGGTCACTCACTAAACAAGTTATTGTTAGCCGCTGGCGTTGTAAGTTCACTATAAAACTACTTGGTCATAGCAGAGAAATCATTCAGTACTCAACTGCTAATACAATAATAACAAAATGTTCTCCAAAGTAAGTTAACAGTCGATTACGTTCAATATATTTATCACTTCTTGAAGTTAGTAAGTGTCAATGTTTCTTTAATTGCAGTTGGTAGCTCTCTGCGCTGTCGTGGCGGTGTCGTCAGCTGGTCTCCTGCCAGCAGCCGTACACTACTCCCCAGCCTCCGCCGTCTCCTCTCAGAGCATCGTACGTCATGACCAACCTCAAGCACATGTCGCCAAATTAGCCGTTGCTGCTCCAGTCGCCTACCACGCTGCCCCAGTTGCCTACCACTCTGCTCCCGCCCCAGTAGCCTACCATGCTGCCCCTGCCCCAGTCGCCTACCACGCTGCCCCCGCCCCAGTCGCCTACCACGCTGCCCCTGCTCCAGTCGCCTACCATGCTGCTCCCCTCGCCAAACTTGTTGCTCAACCCGAAGAAGTTGTAAGTTGACTAAACAACTCAGAATTTCTATAATAGTGTCAAAATGAAAAAATAATAATAAAAGATATAATTTTCAGGCCTACCCCAAATACGAGTACTCTTACTCCGTTGCTGACGGACACAGTGGAGACAACAAACAACAGCAGGAGTCCCGCGACGGTGATGTTGTGAAGGGATCCTACTCATTCCATGAAGCTGACGGCTCCATCAGGTCTGTTGAATACAGCGCTGACGACAAGAACGGTTTCAACGCAGTAGTACACAACTCCGCTCCCACCGCCGCGCCCGCCCTCATCAAGGCTGCCCCACTTGTACTCAAGGCTCCCGTCTACGCTGCCCCTGCACCTCACTACTACCATCATTAAGTTATAATGATTTTAAATTAAAAATATTTATTTTATAATAAATAATAAGAGCACTGATAATCAAAATATTTTTTACTTTTATCCCGAGTTCATTAATTAATACTTTAGACTTAGCTTCTTTGTACTAATGATTTTATAAGATAACATTTAAGAAAAAGTTATTTTTTATTAAAAATAAAATTCAAATATATTTTATATTAGACTTCCCGTTATATCAGGAAATGTTGTTCGATGTCTAAAACTTTGTTATTGATCTTCTCTCATTCAACTGCACATAACGAGCGCCGGAGGCAACACGACACAAACTTCGTGCCTTATAAGAATTTTCTTACATGGTATAAAACATTTCTTCGTATTATTTATGACACCACAAAAGTTCCGTTTTGCTTGTATATTTAAAAATAACATAATATTTGATCAAATGAGTTGAATAAAATACAACTTCTGTGAGGAAGTTTAATTATAATTGCATCCTCATGTTATCTTTTTTTGTTGTACGAGTTATTTATTCCTGATCTCAAATCTAACCAACGCTAAGCACTATAAAGAGTCTGTTAATGACTTTTGAGTATATAATGCATATCAATAAATACAATAAATTATGATAAATATGATCTAAGCGATATATCAACAGTTTTAGGAAAATAATATCTTCAATTATTGCGAAAGAAAGCACGAGGTATATAAAAATTTGTTTTTATAAATCGTAGGATATAAAAAATTTATTGCTTCACATTAAGTCCAAAAGAAAAACTCAACATTTTCACATTTAATTTATCCGCCTAATGTGTTATCCATTTACTTAATTTCTAGCGTATGCTTTTTTTTGTACAGCATAAAATATACATACATTGCTGTTTGTTAAAACATGTGACAAGGTGTATACTACATCGTACAGAACTTTTTAACTCTTTGAGTGTATATTTGTTCAAAATTTTGTATTACAACGATAAAGTGAATATCTAAAGTTAGGCTGACAGAGGTTTTTATATGACTACATAAGACCTATATTTTGTGACATTTAATTGATCTACTTCAATTTGTTTAAAAATAATTATGGTTATAAAAGTTTGGCTAAAATTGCTATTCAAACAAGGTTCTATATTTTTATTGATTGACTGATGTGGTATAAAATTCGAAATTATGGCTATCATAGTTTGTATCCAGTTCACTCGAAGGTTACGTATGGTAATTTTTTTCTGTGTAGGGGATTTGTAAAATATTAATTCATGATTGTGG